CTCTCTCTCTCTCTCTCTCTCTCTCTCTCTCTCTCTCTCTCTCTCTCTCTCTCTCTCTCTCTCTCTCTCTGTCTCTCTCTCTCTCTCTCTCTCACGCGAGAGATGATGGCCGAATTCGAACGCGCCCTCAAGACGCCTGTCGAACGCGGGAGACACTTCTCCAATACCACGTCCCCTCTTTCCACCTCCCTCCCTCTCTTCCCCTCTGTTCCCCTCTCTTTCTCCCCGGCTGCTTGAAGTCCAAACGACTCTCTCTCTCTCTCTCTCTCTCTCTCTCTCTCTCTCTCTCTCTCTCTCTCTCTCTCTCTCTCACGCGGGAGACGATGGCCGAATTCGGACGCGCCCGCAAGACGCCTGTCGAACGCGGGAGACGATGGCCGAATTCGAACGCGCCTGCAAACTGTCGAACGCCCCTGCAAACTGTCGAACGCGCCTGCAAACTGTCGAACGCAGGAGATGCGGCTAACTGGCCGACGTGCACTCGAACACTCCCGAAGGCCCGCCGACGTCGCGTGCTGCCCCCCCGACCCAACAAAGAGCAGTGCATCTTCCCCTGGCCCCGCGCGAGATTCATTCCGGCATGTGCAAAAAAAAAAAAAACAAAAAAAAAAAACTTCGCTTTGCTCCGGCCTTTCATAAAAGCTCCCCCACCCCCATTCGAAAAAAAAAGCAGTGCATCTTCCCCGGGCCCCGTGCAAAATTCACCAAATTCGCTCTGCCCTGGCGTTTTAGAAAAGTCTGCCAGTTCGCATAAGTTCCCCGTGGGCCCGCCCCCTTCCCATGACGCGTTTCCCAACACTGGCAAGCGGGTCTCCGTGGGAGCGTTACACGAGACCCGCTGCACGCTTTAAGAGTGTTAAGGATATTTTCATCAGAGTCCAGTCTGTCAGGAAGCAGAGCTTTTGTTTGAGGCTGCTTCCATGGAGGCTGCTTCCGTGTCCCTGTTAGCAGGCTGGGGCTGATGTAGCTTCAACACCGCAGTCGAGCCCAGGCTGTCGTTGGCAGGCGCCGAGTTGTCCATGTCCCCGGCTCCTGTCTCTGTAGTTGGGCCTGTGTCGGGTCAGTGTCAGTCAGCAGCGCGCAGTGTTGCTCTTGGGTGCTCGGTAGGCCCAACATGCTGGGCTGACTGTGTTGGTCTTTGGTATTGCAGTTGCTTCTGTTTCTCCATCTCTTGTTGCACCCTCCTGATGAAGCCTCATTAGTGGTTGACTATTTTCGGATGCTATTACCAATTCACTAGATGCAAGGGCCTCAACCTCAATTTTCTGGATATGCAGCAGAAGTCTGCACCTCACAAGGGAGTGATGTCGTAGGTGTTTATCTGAGAAGGCATGACTTCTCGTCGTGCACGAGAACTCTCAGTAGTTCACCCTCCTGATTAAACCTCGTCAGTGGGGGAGATGAAACCGGTAGAGGGATGCCAATATGCTTGTGTATGGCCGTGGGAATGTCGGGGTGCTGCAAAGTTGTATTTTGTGAACTTCGAAATTTTGTTGTTGTGTGAACTTCAAAAATTTGTCACTCTGTATGCTTTGCTTTGCCATTCTGCTGCAAGGACTGTTTTGCCGCAGTCCGCCAACTCTCTCTCTCTCTCTCTCTCTCTCTCTCTCTCTCTCTCTCTCTCTCTCTCTACACGCAACGCGTGTGTTTCCAAAGGCCACATCGTACTAGACAGCTCCCTCTCTCCTGGGTAGGAATAAGTCCACAACCACATTACTTCATGGGGTCTTTTGAAGCTTGCATTAGAAAGTGCCTCGTGATCGCCGTACCCTTTTTCATCATTACTCTCTCTCTCTCTCTCTCTCTCTCTCTCTCTCTCTCTCTCTCTCTCTCTCTCTCTCTCTCTTTTCCACCCCCCCGTCCCCCCCCGCCCCCCGCCCCCCTCCTTAGAAGTCCAGACTATGTCAATAAGGCAGACATGCATCCCTTCTCCATTTTAGATGAAACATAATATTATTAGACGAGCTCTTTTTTAAGCACATATGTCTGATGAACTCAAGCAAAACTTTTCATCCCTCTCAATTCTCCTTGGTGTTTTGTTTGTTATGCATCCAACCGTCGCTATACGCTGACATACGTTTTTCCTCCGATTTTTCAGACAAAATTGCACAACTTCGATGGGTATGGTGGAGCTGTGTAACCACACGTTCGTTGAACGCCGGTTCAGCGTTCAGTTATTGAACGATTTGAACACTCGTTATACTCTCAACGGTTTTGCGGCGGCGATTTGAAGTGCGGGAATGTAGAGGGAGTGTCTGCTCTTATCAGGACCCCCTCTACATCCCGTTGTCGATGTTTGTTTACCAAAAAAATAAAAAATAAAAAAGGGATTTGAACGTGCGTTTATATGAACGGTTTTACGGCGGGGTTGAAACGCCGCCGGGGGGGCCGGTGGAGGTTGCTTGGCACAGGGAGGTGTTGTAGGAGGTGGGGTTCAGCTTCCAGTTATTGAACGATTTGAACGCGCGTTTATACTCTGAATGAACGGTTTTCCGGCGGGGTTGAAACGCCCGTGGTGGGGGGGTGGGGGTTGCTTGACACAGGGAGGTGTTGTAGGGGTAGGGAAGGGATGCGGGCACCCCTCCAGGTGCCCTCAATCACTGTTAACGGGGGAAAAGGAAAAAAACTTACAAAGAATAAGGAAAAAAAAAGAAAAAGAAAAGAACACAAAAACTGACCCAGTGCGTTTGTTCGTGTGTGCGGGGTTGTGTGCGTATGTGTGTGTGTGTGTGTGTGTGTGTGTGTGTGGTGTGTGTGCGTGCGTGTGTGTTGTCATATTCGCTAGACACTCAAAAAAAGCATGACTGTGTCAGACTGGTTAGTCGGACTTTCACGACTCATCAGTGTGTGAGTGCGAGCGAGAGAGTGACGGAGAGTAGAATAGAGATCGCTTATAGGGTGAGAAGGTGAATTGTTATAGCGGGGGCCAGCGCACTCGCCCGGTAAGGGGGAGGCTAGAGAGTGCAGGAGATTAAGCAGGGCACTCAGTTCTTAGTGACGCGGTGGTCTATCTATTAGGAGAGTGCCTGTCAATAAAGGGATTCTGTTCCACTGGGCTCTGTGCCTGGTAGCCGCTGTACGCTGGCAGGTAGAATAGGGTAGGGTTTAAATCTTGAGGCTGGTTTGTTTTCTGAAGGTGTTGTTGGTGAGCTTCCCTGAGAACAGCTATGGCGTGGACAACTGATTTCACTTGAAATTAAGCTCCGGGTAGTGAGAGCGCAAAAAACAGAGAAAAGAAAAGGGGAAAACAAAGCGGACACTAAAGGCCTACATATGCCATCCAATTCTCCAAACCCGAGCACAGAAAATAGCCTGCCGCCAAGGGATCAGAGGTCTTAAGCAGAAGCAGCAGCAGCTGCAGTTGAAAGGATGTGTTCTTGCTTCAGAATCAAAAGAGGGGAGGAGGAGGGGCACACAGGGTTGAAAAGAACGACAATGGGATTGCAAATGGGAATTGGAACTGGAATGGGAATGGGAATACGAATGCAGATGGGCATCTGCAAATTAATTGAAACCAGCACACCAAATTATTGAAGTTATTGATTACGTTGAAATCACCATCGCCCCTCTCTTCCTCTCCACATGAGATCGCTTATAATCAAACCCCAAACTACTACCCCAAAAAACAGCCGACCTCACAACTAGAATTACTCAAATAAAAAGATTGGAAAGAAAAGCCAACGTCACACAGAGAGAGAGGCTCGAGATACAGGAAAAATTTGATCAAAGCGAGGAAATAACGATTGGATCACACAACGTGGGAAACAGCTCCCAGCACCAGACACTACAGAAAGCATGAGGAGAGAGAGAGAGGAAGGCAGAGATGGAGACAGGAGGAGACAAGAGGGAGGAGACAGTCGCATATAGGCCTCAAGGCGCATAGTCACGCCGAGACTCTATGAACCGAATCTGGCTATAATTTGCGTTCAGGAGAGTCTGAAGTCTTTGTACAAGCAAGTATGCCCTCCAACAAGTTGATGATTGGACGCCAAGAGGAGAGACAGGGGAGGAGAAAAACAAGGATGTGAAGAGTGGCGAGGAGAAGAAGGATATGGAGAGCGGGAACATGGACGGGAGGAATTCTCTCAACCATTCTCCGGCTCTTCAACCTACTCTCTCTCTCTCTCTCTCTCTCTCTCTCTCTCTCTCTCTCTCTCTCTCTCTCTCTCTCTCTCTCTCTCTCTCTGTGTTTGTGGCAATGTGCACCTTTCATTTTCATTCTTCTACCTTACAGCTTCGGATTCATCCTCCCTCCTCTGCCGCTTACTCCATTTGCTTTCACTTCATCACCATCTTTTTTATCTGCGGTCACGGCTACAGCAGTGATCTTGGCGTCCTGGCATCTTCCTCTTCAAACAGCCTTCAACTTCCTCTTCCATCACCCGCAGCATCCCGGCGATGGCTATTGACATCGTCATCTTCTCCTCGATCACACCCTGCCACTGCCCACTTCAACACGCCATCCCCTCCTCTTTATCATCTCCATAGCTGTCGAGGGACAAAACTTCTCCGCCTGTCCTCAACAACCCTGTGATAGCCAGATCTTTTTTCTCTTGTTTTGTTTCTTTTTTGTTTCTCTTCCATCATTCGAAACCCGCTATGTATCCGTTGTACACTTGGCAAGTCCGTCAATCATCCTCCTGAAACCCATCATCTCCCCTGTTTTTTCTCGTTCTTTCCTGCTCCATCACCGTCCATCCTCTAGATCATGACAGGGACCAGATCATCTTCAATCTCTTCAGCATGCATCTATAATTGGGAAAACCATGCCTGTTTTTGAAAAAAGCTAAAGGATTTGACTGCAGGCGATGCTTTTCTGAGACACGCGCGGCCATAAAAGTATCGCCTGCTGTTCTCCATCCATCACCATGACTCAGAGAACATCATTGATGCTGAGATGTCAATCCCTGCATCTTCTTCCTCCCATCTTCTTCTTCCTCCTCCACCTACTTCCACCTCCTCCATCCTCTTCTTCCTCCATTATCTCCTTCCTTCGTCTTTCTTCTCCTTCCTCCGTCCTCCATCTACTTCTTCCTCCATCATCTTCTTCCTCCGTCTCATTCTTCGCCCATCGTTTTCCTCCTTCCTCCGTCTTCCTCTTCCTCCTTGCACATTATATCCTTGTACCATCTTCTTCTTCTTCTTCTTCTTCTTCTTCTTCGTTGTCGTCGTCGGTCATGGTGAATGACGGGGATGGCTGGCTATGGCGCATAGTTGCTCGAGAAAACTGTACCAGTCAGACAGGCATGAACAGCTGCACAAGACTTGGCCTTGGCTCCGTCCTCATGCCAACGACGATAACTAAAGGGATGAATCCATAATGAGCAACGACCTTGGCTTTCTTCAAAAACCATGTCGGCCATTCCTTCGCTGCCTTCGTGAGCTTCTCTTTGTCCAACTTCTGCATCATGCCCGACATACTGTCTTCTTCCCTGCTCACCACCAGACAAGCCTCAGGCAAAAGTTGTTTGCATTGCCATTTTGGTACAACACAGTTTTTTTCGGATTTTTTGGATTTCTTTTTTTTAAATCGAAATCATCAGAAAACACTTCAAAATGCCCTAAATGATATATATTGTCACATTGTGAATCAGAGCGCAAAAAAGGGAAAAGAAAAAAGGAAAAGGAAAAAAGGGAAAGGGAAGGAGGTAAGGAAAGCTCCACCTGTTCATAACCTCTTACGTACAAGGCCAGCCACGTGGATGACAGGTTGAGCGCTGGCTGCCCCCATCCCCGTGTGTCACAAGGACCCACTTGCACGCAGCCAAAAGGCAAAGAGGTAAAGAA